TTAGTTGAAAGGTCTTTCATAAAATTCCGTTTAGCTATTGACGCCTTTGGTTCATTTGAGCTCCACGGTTGGCTGACTTTGTGGCATGTGGCATGCGGCATGCGGCATGTGGCCCTAGCCATAAAATGAAAAAAGTAAAGAAAATAATGAAAATGTCAATGGCATCAACTAATACTTTGCTTCTGCTCACCTGTAAACTTTTCTGCCAATAGTGCAAGAAGTGAATTGGCAAAAGAAACTAAAAAGCGGGACAGGTGATACAGCCCAGGCATCAATAGCATCGGCTGCTACGCAGCTAATAAAATCAAAATTACTTTTTACGCTGAGCAACAACGACAACAACAGCTACGCGCTTAAGTAGTTGTAAAAAAAATAATAATAAAAAAGTTATCCAAACAAAGTTCAAGCACACACCTGAACGTCACTGCCAAAGGTGCGAAACTCAAGGCCCAACTCTACCCTGGGCCCGCACTCACGAGATAGAGCTAAAAAGTAGGCAACGAATGTTGTTTGATGTGTTCTCTTCGATTAAGTTTTAAGGCTTTCAGCAGGGTCAACAATTCAAAGGCGAGAACATGAGCAAAATCAAACCCAACACAGTTGTATAATACATATACATGTATGTATATCTGTATGTATTTATGTAAACATCTCTGCCTGTTTTCATAATAAATGTGTATATTTATATCAAAAGAAAACATCATAAATATATGTATGTGTGTGTATGTAGCTATAATAGCCCTGCACAAACCAAAGCTTTCATTAGACTCTAAATATAGTTCAATGGGATAATGGCGCCGCCTGCTCTGAGTACAGGTACTTGACAAACAGAAGAACTACAAGAAATGAATACTTTGGTCGAGTACTAACGACTGTGCAATGCTCGCTCAGAGGTAAGACGAAAAAGAATTCATAATTATTGCTATTAAGAAGAAGAAGAAGAAATATATATTATTAATAATTTTTACAAAAATTCATTTTAATATAAAGCAATTTTTTGGATTGAGTCTTTATATTTATATCTGTCATATAGCTTTAACCTTTATATTGAAGTATTGATGGCTTTTGAAAGCCAAAGCCTATTGGACAGTTTGAGCAATTTAACTACATTTAATTTTAGTACAAGCTCATTTTCTCTTTCCTTGAATTTTGTATACTCTTTCTAGATTTCATAATATCATGCGGAGCACGAATTCGCAATAAAAGCCGATACACCCATTTCATTTTTACGAGCAAAGCCTCACATTGAAGTCGACATTAAAGAGAATAGAAGAGGAATCTGTTTACTTAGCCTATAAATAAAATAATAAAAAATATATAATAAAATAAAAGAAAATGTTAATAAAAAAAATTTGTTTAGTTCTGCTGCAAAAAATCCAGACAAAATTTAAACGGTTCTTGACAAGCTGAAAAGGAGAGAATCAAATAAAGTTAAGGCATGCATTAAAGACTCTTTTGATAAAGAACAATTATGAGAGCAACTTGCACTGAAAGCACCTGCAATCAGCTTAAAGCCCACCTTCAATAAAAGCCAATATACGCCTTCGACTGCCTGAACGAGCATGGCAGCAGCCCCGTAAATGGGGCAATGTCTCACATCAAAGTACACATTAAATCCGAGACGATAATCACAGTAGGCATCTGGGGGCCAGACGCTCAGCCGTCTATGATGCTAACGATGCCTATTGCTGTACGCCGGGAATACAAAAAACATAATTAACCACGAAGCTGGGGAGCACAGCAGCCCAACAATACAACAGGCCCAACAACCAATAGCCAACAGCCAACAGCCAACAGCCAGCAGGCTAACAGCAACGGCCTATATAGAGGACACAATCCCAGGCCCCACCTCCAGAACAGGTTAATGTGACAGCGGCAGCTGTTGCCGTCGTAATTGCTCGACTTTTGCAAATAACACAGTTTTGAATATAAAGTACTCAAATAACATGGCCAAATGACACATTTGTACTTTGTAATTAGTTTCGCCCGCTTCGCATCGAGTTCGCATCGGCGTCGGGATTTGCCTCGCCAAATATTCAAATTTTCATTTCAAACTTTTCCATTCTATCCTACACTATTTAACGGTCAAAAGTTCCCAATTTTTATGACAACAACCAAAAAATCAATATTTGCTGTGCTGCTTCAAGTTGAAAATATTCCATGGGCTCTCGCTAAACTATTGGGTATGCACTTAGAGTCTTAATCAAACTTGTATGTCTAGTAGCTTTATACAATTCAATAGGTTAAGTGATTCACATAATTGAGCAATTGGTAATCCATTTGCATTATCGAAATTGTAGTCGTCTATTATTATTATCTTTTCGTATTTCAATATCCCACACTATTACAGCTTCTACTTAAGCTTATTTAGGTATCGAAATTATTTAAGATATGCTCAAGTGATTGAGAATATATACATATAAATTAGAATCGATAATTATCGATTTTATGGCAACTCAACAAGTAATCAAAGATTATTATTGCCATTCTGGATTGATACAGATCGCCTATATTAAGTCATCTACACACAAGTCTCTTATACTGTATGTCAGCAAGCGTATTACTATACCTACAACTGTTGAAGTCTCAGATTATCTTATATTAGCCACAATATATCATATCATATTAGTGTAATTGATTTTCGCTTTGTTTGCTTTTCGCTTTGAGGCCCGCCCATGGTGTAGACCTTTTACATAAATTAGTTCATTCGGTTATAATGTGGCAAGCTCGTCGCACTTGGCGTCACAAATTCGCTCGGTTCAATCAGTGGGCAACGCTCTATGGCTCATGGGCTCTGGGCCTATTCCCATTCGTCTATGTGGCGAGCAGCAAAAGACTGCGACACTCTAAGTGGCTGATTGCATATGGAATTGCTGTGAATCTGGGACTCATTCGTGTTTCCTTTCTCTATTACGACGATACTGAAGTCGTCGATTTGGCCGAGATCTATCAACGTAATCCTCTGTCAGAGCAAATCAGTCATATACAGACTGGCCTAAATTTAGCCACTCTTTTCGTAACGCTCTTTCGTGGTTGGTGGCTAAGCGAAGAGCTCGGAGAGGTTCTAAATGCTCTACTTCAGCTCTATGAAACTGAATATCAATCGTTGGATTGCTCAAGCTTTGATAACAATGTTATCTATAAGAGCCTCTCAATCTGGTTGGAGCTCATTTCAATGTTGTTCCTCACCTTCGGATTCAATACGCCCATCAGCTACAAATTGTTTCTGGGTCTGGCGGCTTCTATGGCCAATCAGCTGAGCATCCTGCTGCTGGGAATGCATTTCCATCTGGCTGTGCTCTATATATATCGTTCGATTTGGCTCATCAATCAGGAACTACGGATGCTGTCAACGCAACAGAAGATCAAAATCAGACGCATTCACGATCTTCAGGGGATTTATAGCCGCCTCGTAGCGCTCAGCACTCGACTGGCCTCTATTTACAGCTATCAAATGATTCTGTTCATGCTGTGCCTCCTGAGTATCAATATCACATCCATATTTTATATACTCGTCTATAGCATTAGCCTGAAAAAGACGCTGACTCTGCCTTTAGTCTTGAACTTTAGCCAGGCTCTTGCCATTAACGTCTTGGACTTTTGGCTAAATATCGCGGTCTGCGAGCTGACTGAACGCGCAGCCGAAGAGACCTCAATTATTTTAAAGCTCTTCAATGATAGACCCACGACTGATTCATGGCTAGACCGGAGTGTAAGTAGCATCGATTGTTTTATAGAAAATGTAAATCATATTTCTTCAATTTTTTCAGATCACTAACTTTGCTTTATTTTGCATACATCGACGTCCCAGATTTAATTATTGCGGACTGTTTCGTGTTAACAATGCGATGGGCTTTCGCATGATTGTCACTTGTGTGCTTTATATTCTATATTTGGTGCAGTTCGATTTTATGAATTTGTAAAATTCATATTAAATAATATATGCAACATACATATATCATATATCATAAAAGTTTTTTTGTTCTGACTACTATTAATAATTTGAATAGAAATTCGTATCTATTTACAGTTTATTATTAAATTATCTAATTATTGGTGCATACAAAACTCTATTAGCTCAATGACAACTGAAGCGAGAAATCAATAACAAAATGCGAGAGATGCTGCTAGACAAAAAATGTTGCAGCACCATCGCAAGCTATGGAAGCAGTGCAAGCAGCAGCATGTTGCTAAGCGCCACGCAACATTTGTGGAACAGCCTCTCTCTCTCTCCCTCTTATTAACGACGAAGCAGTGCAATGGCAGCATGCTGCTAAAAGTCCCGCAACATTTATGGCACAACCTCTCTCTCTCCTTCTTCTTCTCTCTTCTCTTTAATGTCTTGTAATGTCGCCCGCTCAGATAAAATTGAGCCGAAGCTTTCACATTATTCATGAAGTGCATGCTCCAGTGGCCTTTGTTTGTTGCTAGTGGCCGAAAAAAAATTTCGTATTGCGACTTTCAGGAGCCAGACAGTCGCATTTGCCACACATGTGGGGAAGGTCAGAAAACCTTTTCTGCTGCTGTTGTTGCTTTTGCTGTTTCTGTTTATGAATTAGGGTCTCGGAAGAAGACGAAATTGATTTTGGACGTGATTGATTACGAGATTTTATATTGCACGAAAGCCCAAATGGAAAATTCTTAAAAGGCAGCAAGAAATGTAAAAGTTATTAGAGATGGGCATATCTTATTAGATTATATTAAAATATATATGAAATGATATCTAATCTAAAGATAATGACAGAAAATGACCGATTATATATGTATAAGATGTGAGCAAACTTATATGGATAGCGCATGTAAGCCCAGAATAAGGATTCATACATATATTTTAACTTATCAAATGCCGCTTAAGTTCATTTCACAACCCTTTTCGTAAATAAGCATGCCCCATTGACTTAAGCACTCACAGGGTATTTAAGGCGACCAAAGAATTATTTGTCTCCAACGGTCTTGCTTGCCTAATTGGGCTACTAATTGGTTAAGTTGCCTTCATAAATATGTCCTACGAAATTGACTCAAGAGAGACAAAGTGAGTGTGAGCTAGAAAGAGAGACAGAGAGAAAGAGAAATGTACGGCTTGATATTTTTTTTTTAAGCAGCTTTACATATAAATTGCACACTTAAGCGCACAACTCTTGAAACGTTCAACTATAAAGATTAGAAAACTGCAGACTTATGTGAAACGTGACAGTAAAGTCTGAGGGACTAAGCACTTTCTCGCTCACCAAAATGAAAATATTGCTACTGCAGAAGCTAAAAGCCTCGATAGGGCAGAGCTTAAAATATGCTCCAAACAACATTTTATACTTTTGAGTTGAGCTGCAATTTTAGAGAGAGAGAGCGAGAAAGAGAGAGTGAGATAAAGAGAGAGAAAGAGACAGAGGAACATACAGCTGAACTGGGAGGGAAGATGGCATTCTCCAACTATTTATTAGCTTTTCTTGCATTGTTTAACTGTCATCAAAACTGTAATCTCGAGACGATATAAAGCATATAATATGTATATGTATGTATTCTTATATTTATATCATTATATATGTATATGTATATGATAAAATAATGATAATGATAAAAACTTTAATAAGAAAGCAATTGAAAAAAACTAGTTAAAATATATTACATATTACAAAATTAGATTGTAAATTGTAAATAGTAAATATACATATATCATATATCTATGTTTTTATTAAATATATTATATATTATATTATATATAAATATATACACATGTACATACATATATTTAACTTGATTCTATCATCTGTCATCTTAATGCGCCGCAAGACAGAGCTAAACCATTTAATTAATCATATTTAAGCCGGCTTAATACGTAATGCACACCCCCCCACATATAGAGCAGCACGACGGCAGTTGAACTTGGAGGAAAGTACATACAGACAGTAATGTATGTATGTCTAATAATAGGAATTCACATTAAATAAGCCGCACAACCGAATGTTGACACCATTTTACGTGGCTTAATCTTGGTGCATTCGTCTGCCCGGGACTTTTTCCTGCCACATGACTTATGAATGAATCAAACCGCAAAGAGATCTCTCACATGGGAAGCAGCAGTGATGCCAAGCGCGGAAATAGTTCCTTTGAACTGGTCATTCCAATGAGCTAACTTAAGATTAACTAACTTTAAAATTAAGATATGTAAAATTTAATGAACTTACATATATATGTCTTAAATGGGCATTAAAATCAGTATAATAATATTCTCTGTTATAAAAATATCAGTTCAATGTAACTAGTTACTTAAAATTACCTAATGAACTATTTTTGATAAGTAATTAAGTTAAGTAAATTTGATATGATAGTTCATAACTGTACTTATTAAGCTAGTTCACTAGTTGATAAGAAATAATTAAAGAATAGTAATAATAGATCTCCCCCCCTACAGCAGACTTGCCTCTCTTAAACTCTAATATTAATATTATTCAAATGAACTTGCTGAAGTTAATACATCATTAATAAACAAATAAATTAATTAGTACTAAGCTAACTGAGCGACTAAATAAAATTGTTTGAGGTATTGCCAGCACTAATTGACCAGTAGGATATGTACATATGTGCAGGAACTGGTTCATCAAAATAGACAAACCTCGGCTAAATGAACACCAGCACAGTAAAACCACGGGAACAGGCATCTATTCTTGAACAGAGCAGCAGGACAATTGCTGCACTGTTAGCTGCCCCCGCCTGGAGACCGGATGGGGAGTCTGGGTAACTGCGAGGTATTCATCAGTATTTACGTCACGCAGCGCACAGAGGCTGAGAGTCTGAGCCTTAATCCGCTGTTTGTGGATTGCGAACACGCTGTAGTAGCACACATAGATGCATGTATGTGTGTGTGTGTGTGTGTGGGTGTGTTATGTTGACACTTCAATGACAGCTGTGGAAATGCTGGAAATGTTGAAAAACGGTGAAAATAAGTTGGGCTGCCATTTTGTGCTGTGGTTTTTCACTTTCAACTCGTTCGCCGTAAATTTATGCAATTCGATTATCGCGAACAGATTTTACTGGCTGACACACATATGCATGTGTGTAAGTGCCTACGACCTGGTATTCTGATTTTAGGAAATAAGGGGAATCTTTTTTTTACGTATGTATATATATACATATGTATGTACGTACCCTTTGCTTAGTCGACCATATTTGTTAATTTATTCAGAGAATTCATACAGATAAAAAAAAAAGAAACTGAACGTATCAATTGACAATTTATATATGTATACACATATATATACATATATACATATAAATATATTCAATATGTGATAGTTAAAGCTGTATTGCCGGCTCGATATGGGGTAGCTCCAAATTTTCGCTGCATGGACGTGCCAGCATGTCCTCCAACATGCGATTCAACGACTCCGAGCCCAAAGTATACTCGAATTGGCCGTTGTTGTTATTGTTGTTGTTGTTGTTGTTGTTGTCAGGTAGCGTCTGATTATCTAGGTTATTTCCATCGCTGCTCAAAACTGTCTGCAATGCGGCGCTTATCTGCTCGGATCCCATAATGTAGGGCTTTTCCAGTTCGTCTTGAATCGCCGTTACGGATTTGGTCTCTGAGGAGGACGACGATGATGAATTCTTCTCATCGTTGGCTATCTTCAAAATACGCATGGACTGAGTGCTAAAAAGGAGGCCAGCACAAACGCTAATTAGCCATTCGATAACCGGCTTCATTGTTCTACAATTTGGGATTTAAAGCGCGGAGCGTATGTTTTACTTAATTTCACGAAATTTATTTCATATGTATATATGTTTCGTACATGGGGCCTACTAATATGGAGTAAACGTTGAGTGATATAGAGGAAAAGTTTCGCCTGAAATTTGAGAGCATTTGAAAGCGATACTTGGATTCTGCTCCTACGTTCTTATACACATGCCGGAGATGCATGCGATCCAGTCGGTATTTTAGATGTTTATCTATTTATAAATGTACTATGTCTACGATATACATTATGACTATAAGCTAACAGAAAATTATATACTCCAACATTATTTCGTATTTACATATATACATATATTTACATTTATCAGAAGTATAATTACAACAATGGAAAATATAATTATTAAGGATGTTTCAAAGCCGGGGCCGCTGTATTAAAACTCGGAACTATTTACAATATATTAAAATCCTTGAGAGAAGGGAACAAACTGGGCAGGAACGCTGTGTCAAGGTTGCACCAATGACGCGGACGTTTTCTCTGGTTTTCTCGGTTTGTCCGTATTGCGCTGCACCTGTCAAATAGAGGAGATATTAATACACTAATACACATCAATTGAAATAATCTTGTGGACTTACCAGTAGTGAGAGATAAGATAAACAATATCGTTTTTCTATCTCGGTGCGCAACTTGATATACTGGCTAACAGTTTGATAGTAAAGGCTGCCATCCTTCTCACGCAATATGAATCTCTCGTTCAGTTGGTCGAGTTCTGATATTGGTTCCTCCTTGAAGCGCTGTTCGGAAAGAAAGGCGTTTAGAGTTTTACCATATTTTTGATTAATCCTTTGAAAGACAGGCTCCGGATTTTGCTTAAAGTTAATATAGTAACATCCACAATCCTTGAGTATGCTATTGGTATTACCAACGGGCGGTATAGCAAAATTCGCCTGTACTAGCTCCTGCTGTATGGATTCTGGAAACACTGGCAGCTGTGCGACTGGCCGAACAGAGCTGTTCGACTTGGTGGGATGGGCACCCAGTGGCCTGTCTATGTCCACAAATGTTTGCTCTACAATCTGTATCTGCTGCTCCACGCTGAGTGAGTCCAGATCCAGTTCCTCAGACTTGGGCTCTAGATGTAGGCGTGGCACTGTGGAACGCTTCTTGGCAAATAGTTCGCAGAATTCTTGAGCCTGTATGGGAAAGTTATACGAACCCTTCACTTTGGAATTGTTAGTAAGCTGCTCCTCAATGTCAGTGAACAAGGCAACGTCTTTGGGACCCATTTCAGTTTGCTCTCCAGGGACCTTGGTATAGCAATTCGGATTGATCAGATCGACATCGAACATGGTATGAAGACCCTTAAAGTTATAGTTAAACTGCGCTTCCAGCTGTGGAAAGCTAATAGGGTCCTCGCTATAGTCCATCAAACTTTTACCACATGGCAAAAACTTGCAGTTAATTATAGGATCGGGCAATTCATTGATGTACGTAATAGGACACTTAAACGGAGGGCTGTACCAATTAAAAGCGTAAATCAGGCGTTTATATCACAATATTAAAACTAGTTTTACTTACATCTTATCCTCGCGTTTCTCGATTTTATTTTCTTGTTGGTTTGCATCCATTTTGCTCAATGACACGATAAAATTAAATTGACTTTACGAGTAGTGCTGTAACTCACTTTTTGAACGCTTTCAGTGCTGAACAATTCAAAGTAGAATTAAATGAAATTTTTATGGAAGACACGTAAATCTTTCTTACGGATTGCTTTGATGATTTGAAAAACCGATGAACAAATTTTATATATGTTGAGTGTTTTTTTTTTTTTTTTTAGTTTACTTTATACAAAATGAATCGATTTTTGATGTTTAATTTGTGCAGACTATACTCCGGGGAACACTGAAAATATCGCATACTTTTAGGTCGAAATAAAAAAAAACTCAATTAATGGCACTCATATTTCATTAATATGCGCTATGGTGCATTGCACTAAGAAAACATTTTAATAAATGGATCAAATCAATTCATTGAGAAGTGAATTAATTGTGGCATGCTCCAATGAGCTTTTCACTCATGAATGATCACGAGTTCAATTAGTTAATAAGAATTCGCCACTCTAAATCTGCATTAGAAACCAATTTATATCAGATATTTCTTTGAAAAATGTAGTTGTACAAATTATAAAAATATTTTATTATTATAAATATTTACAATTTTTTTTTATTAATATTGATTATTAAAAACAGAAGTCCAGCATCGAGATATAACAGCTATCGATACTTTGAAGATATCATCGATATTCTGCCATCTGCTCAATCGAATTTGTACATGCCTTAAAACGAGTTGGCAGGTACATCGAAACTGAAAAATGCTGCCTTGCTTGACAAATAAATAGGAGGCATTATTATAATTCATTTTAACAAACCAAATCCAAAGAAAAATAAATTCCATTCAAAACGAGATCTCGCAATAAAAGTAAATTTTCTTAAATCTGGGTCTTTGCGCCATTCAGCTACCTCCCTGTTGAAAAAGGGGTTGCAAAACCAGGTACTACATTCAGCAGCGCCGCGTAGCAATACATATCGCTGCTGCGAGCACAGCTATAAATATCGCGTCATTCCCATTTGTTCGAGCATTCTCTGTTGAAAAGTTGTGCCGTAAGGACGTACATAAGTCTAAAAGTTCAGTTTCTGGAAAGTACCAGATAGTGAGTGAGCAACTCTTAGCAGCAGAAGAGGTGTGTGTTTGTATGTGTGTATACTAAAAAGAAAGTTATCAAAGAAAAGAATTAAAATCATTCGAAATGGTTGCGTATCATGATGAATTCGATAATGTTGAGCAGCCGAAAACATTAACGTATTGGGTGCGAAATTTTCGCATGAAACGCATGCAAATGCGTCGTAAATTGCGGGGCTCAGGCAGCCTACGCGTGAACGCCATTTTGTCGACGGCTCTCTTCAGCGCAGAGCATGAGCTGCGCAGAAAGCAGCAGGAACGATTCAGTCGTTGGCTCGACGTCCAAACGAAATTTATTCCCAACGGCAACAAAATCCACAATCAGAATAACAACTGCAGCGAAAAATTTCATCATGATTGTGACGTCACAGTGGAAACGGAGACGGAAGAATTCGAACGTCGCAATGTCGAAAATAATTTGTGGCAAAGCGAACTGAGTGGCCTCGACAAATTTTTGAGCAGTTTAAGCAGCAGCAACAAAAACAACAATAGCCAATGCGCCATTGCAGTGAGCAGTTAGTTAAAAAGAGACGAACATATATACTTGGATATATGTACATAAGAGAAATGTGTTTTATCTCGAAAATTCGTCATGCTTAACCTGTTTATTAATTTCTTTGATATATTTGTTAAATTAGTTTTATTACGAAAGAAATTTCTCATTTGCAGTTGCAATACGTGTGCAAACCTGTTATACATACATAGATTGTAATGAAAAAATGTGAAGGCTGTGAAGAAGAGTGTGATATGATGAGGACGAGCAAATGGCCTTCGTGACAGAGCGAGTGGTATGAGTCATGAGCAACTGCTGTCAATCAACGCTCACCTGAAGCCTTTGGTCCGGAATTCACACTCGGTTTGTAAATTTATCTAATCAATTTAGTTTTAATTTAGTAATATTGTTTCTGAAGCTAGCTTAAATGTTCATAGTAAGCGACAACAGAAAACGTTTTTAGTGGCTTGTGTAGCTGAGGGTTGCTTTGCACAAAGACGACACATACATACATACATACGCAGGTACGTACATTGGCGACGCCATTTTGAAATGTGTCTGTATAATCAAATGCATATACATATGTACAAACATGCGCTGCTGCGTATGCATGTATGTATGTGTGGAAACAGACAAGGTTTTTGTTTCACGGAACAGCCTTATTTATGTGTCTGCGGCTGTGTGCGTATATACATGCATATACTCAAAGTATGTGTGTGTGTGTATACCTGCATTGCCTTTGTTTATGATTTCTCTTTCGTGCATAGGCAAACCTTAGATAGACTTGTAATGCTATTTATATTTTTTCTATCAGTGCGTCCGCTTCTATGAAATAGTTTTGAGTCAGAAATATAGTGATTCATATTGAATCGGAGAAGTATATATCAAGATTATCTATAGATTATAGCTTAGGCTTAAATGTCTCGCAATACTGTCGTCGTTAGCTTTTGTGCTACAAATGTATATAGAACAAATACCTGGAACTGATAAATGTATGTAAGATAAATAAAATTAAACTTGTATGTAATTTTGAAATCAGTGTTGCCTTTATTTTACATGTCTAAGTCTCTCACTCTCCCTGTCATTTGTCGTAAACATATTCGTCTATAACTGATTTTGTTTTACAGTTTTCCTGCTCCTCGAAACGTTAATGGCAACGATGAGGAGGAACGGAACACTTGACAAACAGCAAGAGCAACCACATCAAATCAGAAAACATTAAATCGATGGGCAATGAAATCGATACCTACCTACCAACCTGCATCATCAATCAATCCGATAATCGTCTGCTTGATTTTCGTTTTAATCACTGAGTGAGTCTTCACGTCTGTCCGTCTTCTACATCCACAATGGCAGCCAGTTGCACACCAGCCGATCCTACACAGTTGGCCGAAACAGCAAACTAGCAGCGGCAGCAGCAGCAGCAAACACCACCGAGTCTCCCTTAACCAAAATGCCAGATGCAGCTGACAGATAAATGGGGACAAGGCGGAATTGCGCGCGGCAGCAGCAGCTTGAGCTCAACAGCAAACACATGTGTGTGCCTTATGCTTCCTGGTCGGTTACCACCATCACAACAATCACTACCTACTATACATAAAGCGGTTAGCTGTTGCTGACGGCACCTACTACCACCACCAATCCACACAGATATCTCTGCATACACGCGGTATTCGTATATCAGCTGCGAACGCAAAACAATTACTTTTTAAAACAGATTTACAGCAAAAGGAAATCATAGAATGGAATCTCTTCGTCTTCAACGTGTCGTCGTCGTCGTCGTCGTCGTCGTCATCATCATTATTATCTGCAGCTTCAGCAACTTCTGAGCATCGTCGTATTCTACTTATCACTTCACTTCTTTACTTGAGTTTGGTGGCACGTAAGCCGTATCGAATTTTTCTTCTTGATTAACTCTTGAATTGCAGTTAAGATATACAATGAAATTCAATGAACTCTCATATCCACACACTCCAAGAAGAGTGGGGGGCTGCACACTTATCTACAGATTGATAGAGGAATCGGCGGAGTTGGCGAACTTATCGTATCGTAATATAGGAAGAAGTTTGATATTTTGATTATCACTATCGCTATGTTTAGCATAAATACGTGGGCTTCAATTTTTTTGTAGCGGCGCATCACAGTTGAACAGTGCCTGTGAGCGTCTGGTTTCATCAATGGAAAGTCGCCTCTATTCCTTGTCTGGTCTGACAGTATAAGATCAAGCAGCTTTAAGCGCCCGCCCTGTGGACACCTCTAAGCTTTAGGACACAAAACATTTCTTGTTTATACATGTATTTTTTAGCGACGTGACGCAGTTGAACGGTGCCTGCGTGCGTCTGCAAGGATATGACCATGACCAAGCAATACGCAAATCATCCAATATGTCCAGGCCATCTTTTCTGTCAAATCACGTTGCACGTTTAGAAGTACGCCAGGATTAAAGTCAAGATAAAGAGCTGGCCAAAAACGCGTAACGTGTTTCTTATTACCTAACAAGAAAATATGTTGCGTTTGTTTCTCTTTTAGCATGTTGGGCCAATGGTCTGTTCATTAAGAGCTGAAACCGAGAAACAAATTTATGAACGTTGATGGATGGTCAAAATTCGCAAAATTCTGGATAGCGTAATTTTTACTATTTCTACTCTTAATTTGGCTCTTGTAGCCAGCACAACTGTTTCGTAAACGTGTTTATATGATTTCCAGCCAGGCGGCAAACAGAAAATCTAAACGACAGTGAGGTGGACTTATTGTCCTGGACAATGGTCGGAGGAGTGAACCTATATCCATATAGAAGAAAGACGAAAGACCCAAGCGTAATTTTGAGATATTGCCAAACAAAAAACATTTCTTTTTGTATTTTATAGCAATATGACGCAGTTGAACGGTGCCTGCGCATATTGGAAGTTGTTAATCCCCACAAATAGGGTAATACTTCTTGTAGTTCAAGCGAGGAAACGCCATCTAAAGGATTTTCATGTAAATTATGCGATTTCCTTTGTGCAAAATTCTTCCTTTTTGTATCTTGTAGCTAAGAACCGCAGTTGAATGTGCCTGGGCATATCTGTCGGTAGCTTTCAAAATGATAAAGGAGAAAGAAGCCGTGTCGGCGAGGAAGTGAAGACTTTGTTCTTTACCAGGGGCAACCCTTTAAGACATCAGCAACGATAAAGGATTTGTCACAGAAGTTTACTTTCTCTATACTTTTACCTACAGCTTTTTTTCTAAGCATGTCATGTATTAATTACAGTGGCGTTGTTTCTTGGTTGCTACCCTCCTGGAAAAATCGAATACTTATATCAAAATTCCTTGAGGCAATGAGAATGAAAAGCCAACTTGCAAGCAATATAACACCGACAGTTGACCGACATCATTCCGGTCGATAGACAACCCTGTCAACTGTGAAGGTCAGCCAGACACTGAATACACCTTGAATCGCTTAAATATGTTTTGCAGCCTAAGAGAAAAGACGATCTTGACGTATTTGCAAACTACATAAATGCCATCACCACATATTACCATCTTTAGATCGAGGATAGGCCTGCTTTTGTCACTTGGAACTCAATTCACGACGTGAGAAACTTGTTCGCTTACCATTTTTGCTTTGCACTTTCACTTTTGCAGCGATTTGTGAGGCAGTTGAATGTGCTTAAAAGTACTGCAAATTCCGTTTTGGGAACGCTCCGGAGGTACAATATGTACACACGAATTCTCTATCTTTTCCAACTCTACTAGCTCTCACACTACAAAATCGTTAAAGGGAATCAAAAACGATACATCAAGTTCATCCAGCTAGGTACAGTCTTCAAACAATGCCAGCACCACAACAACAAAATGTATAACAACAACTGCTCCCAGCTGCCTTTTGAAGGCCAATGCGAGTCGAGAGTCGAGTCCAGCCAGATAGCCGCTGAATCACAAATACAGATACAGATCCAAGTAGATCGATTTGTGTCTCGTACAATTTAACGTTTTTACATTACAGAAACGTAAGCTGCACGATATTGGGCAACGACGATAGTCGTCTACTGGCTAATGGCTAGTTGGTAGTTGATGCACTCCAGCTCCTACGCACTCACGACCCGACCCGACCACTTGAACACAAGGCGCGGACTCTATTCCCCTCTATTGAGGAGGCATCACAGCGTAGCTCTGCCAAGACGAGGCTGGGTCAGCTCTCAGTCCAGCACGTAATGCATTGCACCGCATAGAAATATGCGCTCGGTCCGCGCTAAAGGGAAACAAATGCGTTTGGACCGAGACCCGCCACACCACACAATCACCAGCACTCGCTTAAGAGGCGAGCTGATGTGTTGTCGTTGTTATCGGGCAGCTGCCTGCAAGTACGCTACCGGCTCTCAAGCATCGTCGTCGTCGTCGTCGTCTTCACGGTCGCCGTCGCCTCGTTCTCGCTTTCAGCATTTTGTGCGCCCTGCAAGCCAAGTGTATGTATATTGTAGTATATAGTAGAAGCAGCTATGAAGCTATGAACGATCCGGCCTGAGGAATTCGTGCTCGTGGCTTATCGCAAAAGGGAATCAAATGCGACTAGTGTTCCAAGCGTCAGAAGCAATCAGAATCCTGTGCAGCAGCAGTCGCGACAGATGGCAGCGATCAAGAGATCGAAGAACAGGCCAGACGGCGGTGGTGGTATTCAACTGGTTCTATAATCTGTTGTGTAACTTATCCGCCTACTCCCATTTCCTAGGTCGCACATATTTTTAACAGAATGTAACCCCCCGGTAATCAATCAAATCCATCGCAAAGGGAATCAAATGCGATTAGTGTTCGATGACGAAGAAGCTAGCTAGTTAAATCAGCTCTACGCTACGCTTCGATTTGCCAGTTGAGCGCTTAACTCCTGGTGCACCGTTCAACATTCCGCAAATGGGAAACAATTGCGAGGTGGTACTGCAGCAACGCACACACACACAGACACACTCACGCACACATATGCGGGATTTCCTGTTATGTGGCGGCCAAGAACGAGCATCCGAATCCTCAAGATGAAGAGCGCACCACTCAGCGAGCGAGTGAACGAGCAAGCAGGCAGGCAGGGAATCGATGCCAGCATCAATTTGACTAGCTGATCCTTCTCCATTTTGTTGTTGTTGTTGTTGGCGTTTAATTGTTTTTTCAGATAACTACTTTTCCAACCTGGTCGACTGTCAGTCTGTCCAGACATCATACATCAAGTTGTTCTCGAAGGGAATCCATGAGACACGCGCTACATATATATTCTGTATCTTGTTTTTGCTTTTGTTTTTTTTCTTTTTCTTTTATCTCAGTTATGTATTTTAGATCATACGATGAAGTATGTAGCCTTCCATGAAGCACTGTCAAAAATGAAAATCTTCTGGCCTAGAGCCATTGTCAACTATATTAATGTATATTGTACAGCCATGCAAATGGGCTATAACATGTTGTTAAAAATTGTAAAAGTTTTCTATACTGGTATTGTAAGATTGAATTGTATTTGTATTATTGTAAAACTGTGACATGTACATATTAGTATGGCTTAAGAAACGTGGCAGGGACGACTCGTTCGTAGATGAGCTCGACAGACGAGGATCCCTGATGATGGCCTACTACCCGCCCGTAATGAGAGAGAGTGAAGGAGCGACTTGAATGAAACAACTTCATTTCTCTACGGGCCTACCCATTCCTTTGTCGTCTATCGATCTTCAGGGGCTTTCGCTGAGAGGGGACGGGACGGGACGAGACAATCAACCGTTCAAATTTGGCTGGCAGAGATAGCTACAACTGGGCAAACTTTTGATTATAACCTGATCGACAAAATTCAACCATCCACCACCCCATGTGCTGAGATTGAATCTCATCCGAGCTTGGTTGTTTTTCTAAGTCGACTCAGATGTCGTCGCAGCGCTTTTAATCGACAATTTCTTGTTGACGAGCTGGAGCGGCAAGGGTCCTTTTAAATCATCTTACGGCATTGACGGCTTATCACAATAACAATACAAACACATCTGCACGTATCTCTGGAGGTCTTCGTTAGGAATAAACCTTGAACTAGTTTGGGAACACTTTCATCTTTGCAACAACTGCATCCAGTCCGAGGCAAATAGGCAGAACTCAACCGATTTTCAAGCCACAATTCTACTACTACTAATATTGCGAAAAGAAATCATTTTCATCGACACGATCGCCTGCACAAATCACCTTTCTCTTCGTACGATGGCTAGCATATAAACGCGTAGGACACTTTTGAATCTCTGTTCGGACGGCTGCAACTTCAACCTTAAGAAATCTTGCTTCGCATCTATAACACACACATATTTCCCTGCATTAGGGCTCGCTGGCAGCGATAGGAACTTCCTCTGGTCATTTTATTCTGCTACTTTCTTCTACTACTCTACTACTATGACTGATGAGATGAGGCCGTTTATTTTTTGACGTTTTCTGAGAAGATATCGTTTCGGGCAATTAGGATTTTTTTGAGCATTGAGAATATACTTTCTGAAATTTTGGGACAACATTTGAGCTACATTATGACGGCGGCGTGGGACTTGTAAGCTTTGACTGCGGCGTGGGATACCAATCGAACTGACGGCGGCGAGGGACTCGCAAGTTTTCGGCGTGGGACCTTTAGGGATTTGGTTAGGCGAGGGCGCTAGGTACAACACTTCTCTAGGATTAATGGGACGTCGGTGAATTGACTGCGGCGAGGGACTTTGCGGATGACTTCGTGGGATTTGCGAGTTGACGGCGGCGTGGGAGCTTCGAGCGTGGACGGCTGCGTGGGAGGTCCTGACTGCTGCGTGGGATTACCTGACGGCGGCGAGGGAGTTGCGCGACTGCGGCGTGGGAGCTTCGGACGGCGGCGTGGGATTATTTGGAATTGTACTACATTGGGTTTTGTTTTTCTTATGATCATCGTCGGTATTCCCTTAGAACCCAAAAAAATATAAATAAAACCATTATACGTTCAAAGCTGATATACTTCCATAATTAGCTATGCTCTACCTTTATACCTACAACTGTCATCTATATAGAACGGCTGAACGACTTAGTGCTTAATTAAACATCAATAACCTGCACCCTTTGACCTAATAACCTCATGTGTGGAGCCAATCATCATATCAGCATATACTATATTATAAAACGTTCCTGGAATACCGGAAAGCTATTTAACACGATGATCCAGATAATCTAATGTCAATTAAAATCGGATTATCTGCACAATAAATGTTGTTTGAAAAAATGAAAAGAAATTCGAATTTGAACTTTATTTATTCCGACAGTCCAAAACCCTAAATATGGAAAACAAAAATACATTATCTGCAAAATAAATGTTTGAAAAAAAAAAAAAATCTTGATTGTTCTCATTTAAAATGTTTCTTTACTTCAATGTTGGAATATACAGAAGTCTACCAGAACTTGAAAAGCCTTGCGTATGGATAAGTATTGTTGGCTTGAGCACTTTTGGTGTAGTTAAAGCCTCCATGAGTAGTACTGTTACGGTAGTACGGCTGAGCGTTAATTCCATAATTAGTATTGGATTGGATGGGAGCACCAGAGCCGAAAAGAATGTTACTGAAACCTATGTTTGGCTGTTGAACTGCTCCTTGGTAAGGTGCTGCATATTGTGGACTGCTCTGCACGGGCTGTATAGGTCGACTTCCATTGTATGCTCCGTAATAAGGCCTAGTGTTATTATATCTTTTCCATACTGGGCTTGTAATCGTTACATTCGCACGTCGTACGAATGAATTTGTCCCAATGTTAAAAAATGCAAACAGCAATACTGTATAGATAAAAAAGTCGGGATGTTAAAGAACGGAAGCTGCGCACAAATATAAAAAGAAAGTATGCTAACCTATGCTTAAAAGTAGCTGATAAGATTTTAACATCTTGATAAGATATTTCGCAGGTTCCGCTACCGTGTGTGCTATACGCTTCGGGGCTTGAACTGATACTGAAGACGGCAACGCTGACAACCTGTATGTTATCAGCTTTCCACGTCTTGTGTACCCTGCATGCAAAAATTTGGTCTAGAATGGGTATTGCTATATAGGTAAGGCAGTGTGAGGCTCTGCAGCCTCAACAGGGTAAATTAGAGGGACAGTAAATATTTTCGAATTTTGACAATTTACTCCGATTCCATTTTTTTATGAAAATGGTTTCATTAACAACATTAAAAAATTTACTTTGACTAATAGCATTTCTTTATGAATTTAAAAAAAAAAAACCATATGCATATGTACTTTAGTACAGGGTATAATATAGTATAATAATTTAACCACCGTCACCAGATGTTTTTATATACATATATTAACATTTAGAAAATCTTATCAAAATCACGATTGCTTACATGTTTATACAGATCTTTCTTGAGAATTCTAAACACATATTTGCTATAAAATATTCCCTGTTCATGAAAACAGTGCTGTAGTTCGGACTTTCAGTCTTAAAAACACATGAGGAATTGTTTACATAAATCCATATTTTAAATTATTAAATGTTTATACAAGTTTTTACATTTTACTGTCCAACCATAAAGTCTGGATAACCGACGTCATCCGCGTTGCATAGGAAACAAACCCTCGCAGCTACCGCGACGCACAATCCGTATATCTGTGAATAATAAAAGCTGAGTCAGCCAATGGAAATGTTTGCGTTGTTAATGCTCTATTAGCTCTACTCACCGGCACCGCAAAAGCGAGCGCAGTTGAATTTCTGTTCGTTGAGATACAGTTGCCTGTTGCTGGCGCAAATCGGATTATACTCCGGCGTAGTTGGACAACGGCCAAAGCAATCGATGAATGCTTGGGTGGGCGCCGCAGCGTTTGTACTAAATGGTGTCATCGTGCCCACAACTGGCGAATTGTTGACCAGCACAAAGTCGCCAGTCGAACGGACCGTTGGCCTTGTTGCCATCAAAGGCGAACTTGTCGTTGTCGCGAATATGAGGAAATCTTGGCTGGCCACCAAGTCTCCAGTGACAACTGCCCAACTCGCAAACAGCCAAAATTGCACAAAGTTAGCCATTTTCGTACAAGTAGCCCCATGGGAGGTTGCATTTGAACTAAAACCCCAGCTAGGTAACCTACAGTCAGCTCTACTACTACTACTAAGGTTAAAAAACAGAAATGATTTCATAAACTGGTTTTCGCAATCAATGACTTACTAGTAAATCCAGTTCGATTTTTATGTGTGTATTACGTTGCCACAGAAACCTTAAGTGGGATGTCCCCGAGATACTTAAGAGTTAAACGTATTTTAAAATATCAATATCAAGTTCAAGTTTTATTAAAATTATGATTTGGGAAAAATCAGACAGGTTAAAGTATGATTGTTGTTTACCAACGGCGTTTAAGCCGTGCAATTACAAATTGCTTTGTCAACCTATAATAATGGCATTGTATGGAGCAGCAGTGATACGAGGCCCAGGCATAGAGATGGTAGGTGATACATACTGCATGGACCGTTCTAACTTTTGATAGGGAGCTGTTTTAAATCCAATGAAAGCTGGAAGTGACGAGTCATATAAACCACTAGCATTAACGATGACTAACGATTGGAAACTTACAGTTGGAAGTCTGAGGCATTTTATTTACAGCTTTCGTTTCAGCTTCTTCGGACTGCAGATTCTTGTTTACAGCTCGTTGCAGGCACTTGGTCAAATGGATGCCACGCATAGGTCGCCCACAGCGACAAGTGTCCAGCAAACTCTTTCGCATTTCAGCTGAAATAAAGTGCGATTGAGCTCTATTATCGGGCTCTATAAAATAAAGTTAAAGTTATTCAAATTATAATTTATTTTGGAACATAAGAATACTAGCCTGGTAGCTGAAGCTTCGCCATTAGCATCTTGTCCAGTTCATCTTGGTGATAAAACCTATTATTTGAACTGGATGCAATCCCGTTCCAGATGATTGGAAAGTTTCTACGCGCTTTGTGCTCTAAGCGTACAGATTCCTTGCTAGAAAACAGAGGTAAATTCTTTGCTTATTATACTAGTTTTAGTTTTAATTAAATGTTTTATAACATACACTCTTCCAAATAGTTTAGCGGGATCCATTTCAGTTGAATATAATATGAGTACTGGACATTAACAAAAAATTGTATATACAGAAGTTTGCTATGATAAAGGGAGATAAATATTATTTGGATCGTTATATTATAGGCAGCTATTAAAATATAACAATAGTCAACACTCAAAATTTTCTACAAACAAGTATTTTCCATATTAATAATACTTGGTTTCTATGCAAACGTTGTTTTGTTTTCGTCAAGGCACAATACCTACCCTGTGTGTAGTTAGCAACGAATCGGCCATGAACTAAAATATAATATTAAAATAAAATTCAACTAAACCACATACAATTCTATTCATTAATAATACCTAAAATGTTTTCGTTGATTATTGAGTTTATTAAAGCTTTCTTATATGATATAAACATATGTATATATAGTTACTATATACATAATGCTTATTTTTACGTTATGCACAAAAGATATACAAGATTATTGGTTTAACATACAACAAAGTTTTAATGTAAGCTTCAAATGCTTAATTCTCTCTTCATATTACTTGAGTTTTTGGCAGAATATTGCCAGTAATTGTAAAAAACATTGTTTAGATTATATAAATTCGAAAGCAAACAGAGATTGATATATGCGGCACCTGTGATAAATATATACATATTATTTAGATATATATACTTTAGGTAAAATACAAAAGCTATTATCTTCAATTTTTTTTTTAGAATTCATTTTAACTAAAATATTCAGTAAATTTATCGAATGTAGTTGGTAAATTGTTGGGTGAACAATTTAAAAATAGTTTATAGTTGCTTTAGCAAATTTTCTAATTACAGATTGATGATCCTAAATATATGTATGTACTTATGGCTGATTATTTGGATGGCCAGATGCAATATAGAATCGACAGAAGACACGACAAAGAGATAAGAGTCACATACATTTAAGCGTTTGCTTATAACCTAGACAACATTCACTTTACTCTAAGATAATATATTATTAGTATAACAGTGCCAATATGAATATCTAACGAGTCTCGATTAAATAACAGGTGCTAATAGGTACAGTATTCATTTTTTGCAATATTACAATTGCTCATATACTGTGAATGCAAATGTATTTATGTATAAATGAATATATGCTTATTAATTTATACATATAAATATTTGAATATATGTATATTCATTTAAATGTATACATATAAAATTAAAATATTTGTATTTAACAGTCCATAGGTTTGGTGTATCATATTGGCATATTCCTAATCTTGTTACAGAAACCGTTCTCACAATATGCCATTCGTATAATATTGATATCCATCATACAGTTTAGTTGAGAGACTTTTCAGCGAGTCCTGCACAAGCTGCTCCACCTTGCGTTCCATTTCCTGTTCAGTTAAATTCATATGAAAGCGTTTGCGGAGATTCTGTACGGTGCCGGAACAGCCGTTCTTAAAGCAGGGCAAATGAGCATCTGCAATGGCACAATATAAAATGTTGTTTCTATGGAGCTCTATTTACTTACTGCTTCTCATGATTTCCACCAAGTTTATAATGCGATCCATGTGCTTGCGCACAGACATCATGCCTACGAGCAGCAAGCGTTTGAACTCTCGCCAATGCTCAGAATCTGTGCCGCCCATTACTTCTACAAATTCATGGGTGAGCTTAAAGGGCGACTGCTCAAAACCTGATATTAAGAAACTTAAGTATTTACTTTAAAATATTGAACATTTAAATATTTACCCAAGTTCTTGGGGGATATGCTTAGAATGAAACCGAAGTCTATGTGTATTATATGGCCATCAGAATGTAACAGTATGTTACCATTATGTCTGTGAACCGAAAAGAAGAGGAGTGAATTGAGTCATCTTTGACAAAAATTTCATTTATCTTACCTATCTTTAACCTGCAGCAGATAAGATATCAGACAATATGCCGCACAGCTTTGAACAAAATTCTTTTGAGCTTGACAAAAAGTTTCGCCTGTTACTGCTCCATATTCGCCGATGAAATAGTCTCGCAATGATTTGTTTGAGTTCTTTTTGATTTGATGCAATGAAACCGTGTTCAAAATGGGCTCAATCAATCCACTGTCATTCGATAGACATATTATTTTATAAGGCCGCACCCACAGATCCACGTTTTCCTCCAGCCAAATGATTTTAAACATCTATAAAGGGATTTATAAGTAGTTAGTCGTTCGAAGCTAATGCATAAGTTTAATAATGACCTGCAGTAGCTGAGTAGCCATCAGTTCTTGGCGCAAGTCATCCCCACACTTCACAATGGCGGATAAGAGACGCCAATTCGATAGATGACCATAGGGCGAGGACTCGCGTATGAGCTTCTCCTTCTCATGCCAGGGCTCCTAGAGATCAACCAGATTACAAATTACAACTGCTCTAAGAGCTTAAATCGTGAACTAACCTTTAGGGCTGCCGCAGATGGATCTTCGGGATCATTGCTGAACGGCTTCGTGTTCTCGCAACTCAAATTTTTACAGTGTCGAGTGCGAACATCGCCGATGTTAAACCAAACTGGTGGACCTATAATTTCAAAGTTAATTTCTGCTGGACCCAAATTTTTAGATTGACGGATTTACCTTGGTCCCTTGAATCGCACGAGTCTAATGACATCTGCGAAATGGAGTCACGTTCGCTGATTTTGCGCATGTTCAAGTACTGCGCCGTGATGTCATCATCTTCCTGGGACCAGGCATCATCTGAATTCAGCTGCAGTCCACCCAGTGACAGGTGACTGCTCGGGTTCCCACTACAGCAACAACTGTGGGTAGCTGGCTCCCCACAACCGCTGTCTGTGTTTGATGACGACGATTCGGTTCCCTTTTTGCGCCGACAACTGGAGCCTTGATGACTGTTGCTGCTGCTTAAGGTGCGGCTGCAGTTGTGTTGGAAGTTCAGACAAACGCCCTCCAAGTGCTCCTCACTCTTGGTATGCCGCAGCGACGGCATCATCTTTGGTATGAGCGGCGAGGTGTATATGTCGTCTACCTCGACTACTTCTACGTATATGATGTAAGGGGTTTTATCCTTCGAATTTAATACGGCAGTCTTTTCCTCTGTGATGCGCACCACATGATGCGGAATATCCGAGTAGAGCGGCAGCCAGACCCGAGCTGGCAGATTCTTGTTAATCAAATTGAGAAACATACGCAGCGCTGATGTCTTCTCTGCCTTGGAGGCCAAGGACGTTAAATTCTTCCCCGCATTCATTAGAGCCTTCATGAACTCCTTTTGCGGCGCAGTCTTTGGTGCACCACAATTGCAAAAGGTGCGATGACCCAGCAAGCCATTAACCTGTCCACGCACAGTTTGAAAACATGTGCAGCCGTTGTCGAAGGCACGACCCGAGCTGAGATCGCCCAAGCATAACTTTGCTGGTGCTGTGGATATCCGATGCGCCGTGTTGATCGAATGCGGGTTGCTGGAGTCGACTAAGAGCACTGTGGCATCTGACTGGGAGCGATAATGCGTCTTCTTGACCAAGGAAACAGACGGGCTTTGATTTGATTTGACTTGAGGCATACTCTCCTTCTTGGTGAATATTTCCTTCATGAGCGACAGCTTGGATTTGCGCCCTTTACTGCAGCTGCCCAACGAGTCAACCTGATGATTGTATGCCTCCAAAAGCCACAGGCACTTGAGCGAAAAGTCAACAGACTTTCGGCACCGAATCGTGAGATAGGGATCGAGCACTTCAGCAAGCTCATCCATTTCAATGTACATCACGATCAACTGTGGTATATATAGATCCACCTCCTGGTCGGAAAAGCTAAAGATCTTGTTGCCAATAAAGCTGAGAACACCTGGCTCCTTTGAGTAGAACAGATAATGCACGGCGAAGTGAATATTGAATACAGGCGATTCAAAAAACCGCAATAAGCCGCTCGGACCTCGTTCGTAGCTTTGCTGCGGCGCATCGACGGCGGGTGGCTGATCGTTTATATATTTCACTACGCCTGGCACAGGGACTTTCACTTGCTGCACCGACCTTTTAGAAGAGCTGACCGTCTTCTCATTTTCCGCTGCTGCTTGAGGGTCTGTAAGTGCAGGTTTCTTCATCTGCACACCCTTAGATAAAATATTGGCTTTCGCTATCTCTGTTGTCGATTCCATTGGGGTAGGGTTGACAGCTGCCGCAGCTGCTTTTTTGCTGGAATTGGAGCTTAGTAAGCTGAAAAACTCTTTCCTTTTGGAAACCTCTGTGGGCGACTTGATCAGATCTGACGACATTTGTCCTCCGGTACTTGATGGGGTGCAGATTGTAGACGTGGACGATTCCAGAGGTTCGCTCGTTTTCTGCTTGATTGCATTCTTCTTTTCGTGGTTCTCAATGATGCTTTGGGCCGTGCGAAAAATTGCATTCTTAGTAGCACCGAAAAAACTTTTAAACAACACCTGATCGCTTTTAGTGCTCTCAGAGGGCGTGTGTGCTGCAGCTGTTTTTGATGGCGTTACGGCAGGTAGTGTATTATTGGACACAGTTTGCGATGTGGACAATGTGGGCTTGTCATCCTCATCGCTCACATCCATCACCGGCTCTATCTCATTAGGTGCCGCACCGAGCTCCAAGTTAATGGCAGCCTGAGACATGTTCATTACGCGATAACGCGTTCGATCATCCGCTTTGATCGGTTTCGATGCAGGTTGCAGCGTGCGGCAGTCGATTACGTCCACTGTTGTTGAGGACATGAAACAATGATCCGATTCTATTTTTTTACGATCAGAATCAATGGGCGTTGCTGTTTGTTCTGCTTCGACATCGTCATCTGCATTCGTATTGACATCCATTGCGCCCAGATCGAGAGACTCATGAGAGTGGCATATGCGATTTAGCGAAAATTGGTCTGATTCTGAGCCACATAAAATGCCTAAGAAACAAAGAGTGTGTATTAGTTAATATGCTTACATATTGAATGGGCAAATAACAATATAAGGAAAAGGCCTCATATATGATAAAATTGTCCATGAACTAAATTATAAATTATTCCGAAACAGTTCCATACCAGAATCATCCGATCCAAGACTCGTCAAATCCTCACGCTTTTTGTTGTTGCCTGTGCTACTGCATACATCGATTGTCTCCCGCAGCCCCGTTGTTGAGATTTTCGATTCAGTGGGCCCTGAATCAACTACAATATGACAAATGTATTAACGACCAATTTGCGATCATCTAAGAACAATCACTTACCCATAATTCCCATGGATCTCTGTGAGTGTACTGAGACTGCAGGTGTGATCAAATCTGTCTCTATCGGAGCACTGGAAACTTCTCCAATCACTTGAGGTGCGCTTGTGGCTGCATCATTAGCCTTAGCAGCTTCCATTTTTGGGCAGATTTTGCTATCGAAATTTGTTGAAATTGAACCCACTGTAATTTCACATTCGGCATTGGGAGATGAGCTCTCGACCTATAATTATTAAAATATTTATTAAACATTAGCTTGTCAGCAAAAGCTTCTTTTGTATCTGTATTTATTTTTTTCGTCGGCAGATCCCACAGTTCAGTGCAAAAAAAAAAAAACCTGTTCTCTCACTCTCTCATTAAATTGCAATCGCTCTTAAAACTCAAAGCTGCAGTAACGGAGCATCAAGCTTTACCTCTCTTTGACTTCACTTTTCTCTATCTCTTCGTTGGTGCGACCAGCACAACTGGATTTCAGTGTAGTTGTTGATAAACAGAAGAGTACACAAACAGCTAAGTATGCAAAATGTGCGCAAAACGAACAGCGATAAAAACAAGCGGAAACTTTTGATTTCAGCTCGCCGAAAATCGAATACCCTTAGTAAGAAAAAATATTGACATATTTTATTATCAGGTTCTATAATTAAAATGACATTCCAAACATGCTAGATCATGTTTCAAAAGCAACAAACTTAAAAAAATTGCTTGTATTTTTAAAATTTTTGAAAAACTACATCTAGATATTATTCCTCCTAAGACTTATGACAATGCTTCTAAATAACTTGGAAAAGTATAAGGCATTAGCAAGAACAAATATTTGTTATATAATTGAAAGACCTTTAATGAATAGGGTATGCATATAACTGATTACAAATATAAAGAAAATATTTATATACGAGTTTCAAATAATGAAATTTTAAACGCAACTACTTATACCTTTTCATGCATTCCAAATAGAGAACAAACATAAACTCACCTCCGGTATGCGTTGCAGGAAGCTGTCGAGACTGCGATTGCGATGATGTTGCGTTTGGTTAACCCGTGTGGTGCTCACCGAAGAAGAAACTGGCGACTGCAGTATGCCCATTGATCTAGAAATGAGCAAAGTATGTGAGAATAAGCTTTAATTATTTAAAGAAAAAATCAATAAAATTTCGTCATATATCCGAATGACTCTTAACATACAAAAAATAAAGCCAACAAGCATGTGCACTACTGAACTAATTAGTGTAACCAAAAATATATATCAAAACAACATATTTGTTCGTTTTCGCTTGTATGTCAATAAACAATAATAAATATAGAAAGTTATCAATATTTGGGTTGTAAATCACAAAGCGAACGTGCAAAAGTGAGAGCAACAAGTGCACGAATAAATAGATACGTCAACAATTATTTTTCTGATAAACAATTGCTGTTAGCACAAAACTTTTCAATTGCTAGTCCAACATGTCAAGTTAACAGCTAACAAAAATAGTACTACTCACTATAAAACAGTTAACACAAGCATTTCAAAACGTTTCTATCAGTCGCTTAGTTTGGAAAATGCAACTTACCTCGAATCTAAGCTGAAGTTCCTTTGATGTCTCGGCACTCGTTTTGGAGATCTATCGATTGTTTGATTTTCGACTGAGGGTAAAACTAAATTTTGATGCGAACGGCCATGCACAGAGGGCATGGATTGATGGAAACTATTGTTAGGGCGCGACCTTGAGAATACCGAGTTCTTTGGTGTGCTTGCCAGTGAACCAACGCTTGACCTTGAGGCTGTGCTGGGAGGCAATATATTAGACGACACAAACATCAGTTGGGATTTACGATCTTCATTTGTTGTACAGCTCATGAGTGAATGCTTCAATGCTGTTAAGCTATGTTCGCTTGGACTGTCCTTTCTGCTCAAAGCCGTTGTCGACTTAATCGAACTAACATCGTTATCCAGCCGCAATATTAAAGCGTTTGATGTTTTGATGTTTTTGTCCATCTTCAGGCCTTCCTCTTGTCATTGGCAACAGGTAAAAATCAACTCGTGTGCACTCTTGATTTAATGCAGCTAAAGCAGGTATAGACGGCCATTGTCATCAGCTACCTGCTTTCCGTGTGTCTTCCTTTTGGTCAGAATGTCAGTACTAAGAATTCGCAGACTGATGTTGTGGTTGATATAGGCGTGAAGTTTATTGAAAAAAGAGTTAGAAGAAAGTGGCGGCAGCTTAAGCTAATAAATGACTTCTCTTCAAATAAAAATTCCTTAATGGAGCAGGTTGCGCCATTATTAGTTGCAGTTATTGCTTATTATGCTTTGGGCGCATTTAATCGGCAGATTCTCTACAAAATACACAAAAAGATATATTTACAAAACATATTAAACAAGAGTGGCTAATGAAACTTACTGGAGGTGAAGCTGTTTCATTTGACTTTCGACCCCGCTCTCATTTTCGTTTCACTTGCCTTACGCGTGCTTATATTGAATTTCCATATTAATAGATTCACAACATTTTGGACTCGAAGACTCAACTAGTCAATCGAATATATATTAAGTTTTCAAATCATATATAAATTAATATATTAATTAAACTGAATTTAGTCTATCAAACACAAACAATGCAAATTGCATACAACAGTTTGTTAGTTTTATTTAATATCAAGTGATGGGAACAAAGAGTTTGTATTAGTGATGCTCATTGATATCGATACCCTAATATCGTAAGCCAATAGGCTCTAATTCAAATGCTATCTCTAATAACGGAATAGCATATTCAATTGTAAATGTCCTTTCTTCAAAAAAACACGACAGGTTCATAGAAAATTAGCAATATATTACAAACAGTTCGATTTTTTCGATTATTTTTGAAATCAACGATATTCTTTGCGCATATATTCAAATACTTTCCATCACTAACTGTATGTTTTGTATGTTCCCTAGCAAATAGCTGCACCATCGGGACCCCTACAGAATATAAAGGTGTGGCTGGTCTGCGCAGACGAAACAACCAACAATTCAATTCTGGCCGTTAGGCAGTCTGACAAAGGAAAACATTTTTGAAACGTAGTTTTTTCTGTATTGGTGCTTTGCAAATAGTATTAAAATTATTGGACCGTATGTACAATTATTCTGCATGAATAAATAAAGCTTAGGCAGATTTCTATTTAAATTCTTTGTCTTTATCTCCTATAAGCAATTTGATCACTAGAAGTTGCGCCTTATTGCTGCAGCTCTTGGTTATTTTTAGGCTATTTATTTGGTATGTGGTATTTTTCGGAAATGTTTATTTAACTTACTATACTATACTAACATACTTCGACTAACTGGCCACACTGGGAAATTTTCATATAAACATAAAAATAAGATGCTTCCTGGCGTTGGCGTATTCGGAACAGGTGAAATCGCCAATGTCCTTGTGCCACTACTCCGAGAGAAGGGTTTCGAAGTTAAAGCGATATGGGGACGCACACTAAGAGAGGCCAAGGAGACGGCAAACGCACAGAACGTCGCCTTCTACACAAACGTCATAGACGAAGTGCTCCTGCGCAAAGACGTCGATTTGGTATTCATAGTGTGTCAGCCGTTTCTGCACGCTGAGATCTCAGTGAAGGCACTGGGCATTGGAAAGCATGTCGTGTGCGATAAACCTGCTGGCCTTCATCAGTCAGACTCTATGAAAATGGTGCGTGCAGCCCAGTATTACCCGACACTCATCTCACTGGTGAATCATCCACTCCGGTTTCTGCCTGCCTTTACGCAAATGCGACGTTGTCTACAGGATGGACTTATCGGATCGCTGGGTGAGGTGGTACTGATGGATGTGCGTGTACAAATGGGCACACTGTTCCCTGAAAAGTATAACTGGATGTGCGATGCTCAGATGGGCGGTGGTGCATTGAATCTGGTTGGCAGTGTCGTGGACCTCGTTCACTTTCTGTCGCAACAGCAGGCGATTCGTGTTCACGGCGTCCTGAGAGCCTACACTAAAACAACGCCATCCATCAATGGCATACGCCAAATAACAGCGCCAGACTTTTGCAATTTTCAAATGGAGCTGGCGAGTGGCACGCTCGTCACGGTGGCCCTACATAGTCACACAGTGCCGACAAAGAGCTTTTCCCAAGAGGTGCTTGTCTATGGCAGCAAGGGGCATCTGGTGGTACGCGGCGGTGATCTGTTCGTACTTAAGGAGTCCCAGCAAAAGGAGGAAGCTGTCTACGTAGATGTTCAGGACTTGCATGTTTCCACAAACAATTCGTTGCTGCCACGGCCCTATATCAAAGGACTATGTAAAATGGTAGGCGCTCTCAAGGAAGCCTTCAACAGCAAAGAATCCAGCTGGATAAAGGCGCCTGTCTCCACCGCAGCCACCTTCGAGGATGGCCTCTATGTGCAAGCTGTCGTCGAGGCTATACGCAAATCGAATGAAACACGTCAATGGCAACGCGTCCAGTTGACCACAGATGTGCCTCTAAACCATGACCAGATTATAAGATATGGATATGCGCGAATGTCCACTATGTGAATTATTTTCGCTGTATTCTTCAAAACGCCTTTCCACCATTAATGTATTTAACTTATTATTTTCAGCATTTATATTTTGCATTAATAAATAAAAAAAGCCGTAGGTTATTAAGAGTACATAAGAATAAAGTGATTTAAATTATGTGGATATGTATATGTATATATTGGGAATGACTCCATAGAACTGCGTATCTAAATTTTAAAATACAAGTAAGGTATTCTAGCCTAAGACACAAACTTTATATTATCATAGTTTCTAGGACACTGGGAGAATAGAAAAATTTGCATGCCATTGGCGACAAATCAGCGTAAAATAGAATTCGTTATGCCTATAAGTTCAAAATTATACAGGTTATAAATGTATATAGAAAAGAATTTTAATAGTCCCTCATATTTTTTATGAGTTCACGGATTTTATGAGGTGAGCTTCTATGGGTTAAAAATTCACGAATTGAATTGAGCGAGCTGAAAAGTGACAATCGGACATGAAAAACAACACTTTTTTTACAGACTGATTAGATTTGTAGGTGATTTTATTTTATGTGTGAAATTGAAAAATTGTATAAAAGGCAAGATTGTATATCATATTAACCTTAACTGGAATCTTTTCTTTCTCATACATCGTTGAATTACATTGAATTTAGAATTTGTAATTTGTTCGTTTCATGTTTTTGGTATATCAGCACTTATAAAATATATTTATAAAAATTAATTGCTATGCTGGAAATGTAAAATCCACTACCCTAAAGCCTTTGAGTACATGTTAGCCAAATGACATAAATAATTAATATTATAATAATATTGTCTTTGATTCAACATACACAAAAACAAAACATAAATGAATAATGTTCTTTTTATCTTAATATAAATAAATAGTTAAGTTATACACATATTAATTAAAATATTTTTTGTAGAGCAAAACGAACAAATTGAAATAAAAAAAATATAGTATATAAAAACACAAACAATAGACACCAGCTATATGAACGTAAAAAAAAGTACTAAACTAATTAAGACTAACTTAGTTGGTAGCAAATTTCCTATCGTTTGTTCAGTTTGCGCCACAGGGTGATTATGGTTAATATATGCATTACACCAATTACAATGCCCATTAGCATAATGCAATCGGACATATGCACATCGGAGATCATCATGTACTTGAGAAACACTTTGGGACTACGAAAATGACAATACATAACATTCTCTGGACATTCGAGAAACGGACGATCCATGCCATAAATGGCATTCAAAGCGCCATGAAAACCGGCACGAAAGTAACTCAAATGCCACATCCAACGGAACATGGGCGTTATATCTATGTAACGCGTACAGAAACCAAAAACGGAGAACAGCACCGCCAAAATAGGACCCAAGAAGACGGCAAGCTGTGATGAAAAATTCAAGTTTCATTCAAAATCTATTTGATTACAAAAGAATATTCAATATAATTTACCTTTGTTGGCAGCGTGGCACCCACAAAGAAACCCCAAGCCTGTGCACTTAGGCTCGCCAAAATGGCTAGCAACATGAAGTAGTGAATACGGAACGAGTCCACGCTATCGTTATCCGTTAGCCGTACACTGATTACAATGTACAATGCAGTGCAGAGACTCTGGAAGATTCAAATTTCAAAATGAATTAAAATATATATATATATATATATATCAATACACTGTTTCCCATTTAGCAACTTTTGATTACTTATGACATTTAACTGCAATTCAAATAACAGAGTTGAACGAACAACTTACCTGAAAAGGTATTTCAAAAGAAATCAGTGACAAAAAGTAGGGTCCCAGCTTGTACCAGCGATTAAAGTGTTCCCTGGTCAGCATATTAATCTCCAGCGGAACTGCAAGCAAATGTATTTACAATTCTTGGTTATTTTTAAATTCTATTTCCATTTAGGCAATTGCAAAAACGAGAAATTCTCTGCCGCTAAATGAAAGCTGCATGCGTCAATGCGATTACGTGCATGTAGGTCAGGTCACTGAACCGAAATCGATATATAAAGTGATCCAGTTTTGCAAATAACGAGACAAAATAATATATATATTTTTTCGAATATATTCAAATGCCTAGTCTATCTAGAATATTCTCCTTGAAATTAGACTCATAGTAAACTAATAAATATTCATTTAATAAATATGATTTAGTAAAGCCTAATAAATCAGGAAAGTCAGTATATTCGTACTAGAAATTAGTAAAATCAATGCTGTAGAGCTCATAAAAAATATTTAAATAAATATGACAGCAAGAAAATTGACCTAGTTTGTCTACCGATATAACATAGAAGTAAGGCGAGTCTCTTAACACGCATGACAACATGCAAAGCTTATAAATCTATTCAAGCTGTCATCTATCGCGTTAACGTATTTAAGGTATGATCGGGTCAATCCCATCAATCAGCATAGAAGTATCAGAGGAAAAATGAAAGTAAAAATCTTTCTCTTTTAAGAAGCATGAAAGACTCTAATAAAAATTCTTTCTATCTTATAGAGAGACAAAGAAATTGGCATTGTATTTTCTTGTGGCAATTTCATTATATATTTATATACATTGTATATTTGTGTATTATTTCTATTTGATTTTTGTCTACTCACAGGTCAATACCACAGCCATTTTACCGGTGTACACCAAAAGCAGCGTGGAGCCATATAGGTAAACATAGTTGCCCAGCACTGAGCTGGCGCTGCTGCCCACATTCATGTAGAGGTAGCCGAATATGACGCCAATGAAGATATGCGAAATGATACGGGCCAGCAATAGAAACTGCAAATAAATGTTAACAAGCATATGAGTATATTTTAGATATATCTGCTTATATACATATCTATTTTTTAACATACTGCAAGAGCTGCAGCTAAACATTTGCCGCCATTGGCACCAGCGCACGGTTACATTAACTATGTGAAGGTCAGCATCGCTTTTCAGTTT